ATCCGAATTCAAACACAATTATGGTTAATTTATATGTCAAGCAGTTAAATTATCAAACGTACAACGCATATGTGCAAACAATCACAAGTCTATAAAAATAAACAATAAATAATATAAATAATTTATTGACACAAAAAACCCTCTTTAAAAAAATCACTGGTATTCACTCAATGTTCATTAAAACTTAATTCATTACTCTCAAAATCAAACAAAAAATAATCGAGATGTGTCATACAACTTCGAAGAGCATGTGAAGAAAGCATTACACTCTTTTTTAAGTTTTACCCTACCCTACTTTACCCTAACCTGCCATACCCCCTCCTTATTTATTACTCTCTATCCTTACACCTTCTTCACTCTATGTTAAGCTTAGATGTACAATTGATAAATCTTACCCACAATCTCAATCTCTAAATCACTTTCTCACTGATACTCCATTCACTCCCCATCAATATGCTTCTTTATATTCTCCGATGAATGTTTATGTTGTATTGTGATTTGTTGATCTGTTTGTTAGGAAGTGTAAGAATGGCGACAAAGAAGAGTGTTGGTTCTCTTCTCTCAAGGAAGCTGATCTGAAGGGAAAGAGGATGTTTCGTGAGGGTTGATCTCTGTGCTTGGGATGGCATTATTCTTAATGAGGCAACAAACCACAAATCCACACATAAGGATAAACAGGGTGAAAATCACAAAAAAATTAATACGGCCCATTTATTATGGGCCACTTTGGATCAATTTGGAATTCATATACCACCGCAATTACAGACCCGTTTGACCCATTTTAAAGGACTAAAATTACAATTAAGGGGTAAGGCTTAAAAGTTGATTTGAAATGTCCTTGTGGTGGCCGAAAGATATATTTATTTACTTTGTGATCTGCGAAAAAGTCCAATTTTTTTTTTGTGAAGGAACTATAGCTTATTTGTCAGTTTCTCGGAAGATTTTTTCTATTTGTTTTTGTCACTTCTGAGAAATTGACAAACAGCCTATAGTTCTCTTACAACAAAAAAAAAATAGATTTTTTCACAGATTACAACGTAAATAAATATGTCTTTCAGCCACCTAATCCATGTCCACAATAAATTATGTAAGTAGTGGGTGTCGCATTCATTCAATTATGCAGCATAAAATATCTAACTTTTATGATGGTTGTATCTGTTTGTCTCTTTGTTTGCAAAGCATATCGATGTTGAAATTAGAAAGAAAGAGATCTATTTCAAAACCGTAGTATTATTATTACACAAAGGAACAAGCCAAAGAAGATTTCAATCAAGTAATGTCGTTACTTCTTTTTGTTCTAGCTCTCCCTTTCTCTTCTTCTAAAAAAAGAAGGTAATCGACTTCTTAAGCTTGGCCAAAGACCCACCACATGCCCATGACCATTAGATTTAATTAATATTCAATTTATTCGCTCAAACAATTAATTTTACGGCGATCCCACAATCTAAACTCAAACACAATTATGGTTAATTTATATGTCAAGCATTTAAATCATCAAACATACAGCATATGTGTGCAAACAATCACAAGTCTATAAATATAAACAATAAATAATACAAGTGATTTGTTGACGCGAAAAACCCTCTTTAAAAAAAACCATTGGTATTCACTCGATGTTCATTAAAACTTAATTTATTACTCTCAAAATAAACCAAAAAATGCTCGAGATGTGTCATACAACTTCGAAGAGCATGCACAGAAAACATCACACTCCTTTTAAGTTTTACCCAACCCTATCTTACTTTACCCTACCCTACCATACCCCCTCCTTATTTATTATTCTCTATCCTTTCACCTTCTTCACTCTGTGTTAAGCTTAGATGTACACTCGATAATCTTACCCACAATCTCAATCTCTAAATCACTTTATCACTGATACTCCAGTCACTCCCCATCAATATGCTTCTTTATATTTGCCGATGAATGTTATGTTGTAGATATTGATTGATCTGTATTGTGATTTGTTGATCTGTTTGTTAGGAAGTGTAAGAATGGCGACAAAGAAGAGTGTTGGTTCTCTCAAGGAAACTGATCTGAAGGGAAAGAGGGTGTTTTGTGAGGGTTGATCTCTGTGCTTAGGATGGCATTATTTTTAATGAGGCAACAAACCACAAATCCACACATAAGGATAAAACTAAGGGTTCGTTTCGTGTTGTTTCCTGAATCAAAAAGATTTCAATTTAAATGTCATTTGCCATATCATTGTGGGGTTTTGGGCTTTGAAATCCTTTTTTGTCATGCACATGTACTCCAAAAAACATGAAATTACAATGCTGTAATAGCTAAACAAGAACCACAAGTTTGTGATATGATACCTCAATTATTTTAGGATCCTGATGAACTTGTCAAACATACTGAAATAATACGACAACAAATGTCTTGGTCCTTTACATCAATACTAAAGGGACAGAAAAGGATAGAATGGTTATATAATTAAACCAACATAAATGACTTGGTCTAACTCATAAAATTTATTTTAAAGTATTTTATTTTTTTAAGACAAATATATATAAACATCTTACTGTTGGTCATACAATTTCATCGATTCAATTTTGTCCCACCAGAGTATTAGGTGACTGAAAATTACGTGTTTTTACTTTGTAATATGTGAAAAAATCTAGATTTTTTGTGATAAAAGAACTACATGTAATTTGTCATTTTCACATCCACAAAATAATGTAAATACAAATTTATTTACCCAAAAAAAAAATATGTAAGCTATTAGCATCACGCTTATTTAATTAGTGGATCATGCATACGTACTCTCCACATGAATTATTTTAAATTTTTTTTTTTTTATATTTATTTGAAAAAATCATGTGAATACAACAACCTATAAATATTATTAAGGCTTCTTGAGTATGATATTCCCGTTGTCATCTTATGTGGCCACCAAGTACTATTGGTTTTTATGGTATGGTCTCGCACCCAAATATATATGTATGCAGTGATATGTAAAAATATCAAAATTAATAGATAGATAATAATAAAAAAAATAGTGAATCATTTATGCCTTTGAATTGGAGTTTATACCTTAGAATTGAAATTCGAGGACAAAGTTAATTAAAATTTAAAATTTTGATTCTCAGTTTCAGTGACAACCCATAAATTCTATTATACCAAGAAGAGCATAAATTCAATTCAAAAATAAAAAATAAAAGAATGATACTTACCATCTCTAAAAACCAGAAAATCAAACACCTCCTCATGTGAAAGATGGTCCTCAGTGATTGAGGAACTTGGAATAAAAATATACCAATCAATAAAAAACAATTTTTCATTATATACAAACACCATAATCACCTCAATTAAAATTTATATAAATCTTAAATATTGCATAGTCCAAATAATAAACTTCATCAACTTCATTTTTTCATGCAAATGAAGTTAATTTTTTGATGTCTTATTGCTGGGATGAATGGATAAAGATGTTGATACAATTTTCTTCCACTTACTTGCACAAGCTAAAGGAGAAAAGAGTGTATATATAATGGTTGTTGGGCTGAGTGGGAGCAACAGTCGACGATTACAATTATACCAAGTCCCAGGGGTTGCTTAATCTACAAACTTCAGATTGTTGAGAAACCCACCTTTGTAACATCTTAGTGTAGGATAGTGTGGTGGAACATGATGATGGAGTTGGTGAGCATGGATTTGAGAAAAGTGGTGGATATTATTATTAGGTCTTAGGTATGTAGAAAGTGGTTAATGGTAGGAGTGAAATCTCTATGAATAACATAATATAAATACAAAAAATTATAAAAAAAGATGAAGAGAACATAGAAAGTCATAAGGTGGCTAATTAAAACAAAACAGTTTTGATTATTCCAAATTGTTTGTTTATTTATAATATTTGTGCACGTAAAACGAGAGAAAAATAGATGAGAAAGAAATGAATAGATAACTGTCACTTTGGAATACAAAAAAATAAAAAATCATGTGTAATTAATAATGAACTCTAAGTTTTTTTTCTTTAGTTAGTATATTACTTTGGATTTAATGTCAATGTAATGGGTAGTAAGAAAAAAAAGAGAGATGGAAAGTCTCTATAAATGAATTTACTACACAATGAAGAATATTTATTCAGGTGGATGGTAATTTGATATTTAAGTAATATTTGAGGATAAACAAGTCGATGAAAAGTTTTTTCAACATAGGTGTATTTAGAAATAGTATATGTAGTATATATTTGCACACACATATTTTTATTGTTTATAAATATATTTAGAATAATCTTATTTGGATCTAGAAATTTAACCTAAATTATTGACATAATGATGTGACTTTAGTAGAACCATTTGATCAATACCAAATTTCAATATTTGATAGAAAACCTCATTCAACCCAAGAATCATAGTGAATTAGGTCAACAAATTAGATCAGTAAATTAAGTCACAATAACATTGCTCATATATTTAAGAAGAAAGTAAAAATTCAAATTTTTTTTATATTTAAACTAAATTAAGGAATAAGTGTCTTTAAGACAAGATCATTTGAGGACAAAATTAAAATTAAAGGTTAAAATTAATTACTAAAGTTCAAATGAATGTAATTAAATGTTAAATTTATGCACATAATTAATTTAAGAAGATGAAATGATATAAGACTTTTTGTAAATAATTGAATAAAATAAAAAAAAATGAGAGGATATGATTGATTTTATAACAATAATCAATGACAAAATAGTCAAATAAAATTGTTTTCAGTTTTGTTGACATTTAAAGTAGTATAGATGTAAGATATCAATGTCATGATCAACTTTAACTTTCAAAACATATCTTCAAATTGAAGGAAAAGAACTCGGGGGATAGTTTAAGTAATAACATATAAATTCAGACACCTTTAATTCGAATATTAATAACTCTTTAGGGTCAATTGCTCGTGAATTTATCCTTTATAAAAATCTTAATTCCGATGTGAATTATTTGCTTTTAATCGAACTGTTGAAAAAATAAATTAAAATGCGCATAAATTAACTTGGATGTCCCTGACATTAAACCAAAAAAAAACAAAGAAATTGGAGGAAGAGATCTATTTAAAGATTCAGAACATCATGGTATTATTTCACTGGAAGAAGCCATAGAAAAGCTCTCAAGTCTCACTACAACAATGTTGTTACTCTTTTGTGTTCTAGCTCTCCCTGTTATTTTCTTCTTTGTTCTTCCTAAGTACAGAAAAAATAACGAACTGCTTCGTCCTCCAGGTCCTTCGGGACTACCTTTCCTCGGAAACTTACACCAGATCGATAACTTAGCCCCCCATAAATACCTATGGCAACTTTCCAAGAAATACGGCCCTCTCATGTCCTTGCGTCTTGGTTTTGTACCAACGCTCGTAGTTTCATCAGCAAGAATGGCAAAAGAGGTCTTGAAAACCCATGACCTCGCATTTTCTAGCAGGCCTGCCTTGGTTGGTCAGCAAAAACTGTCTTATAATGGCCTAGACATGGTTTTTGCACCCTACACTGACTACTGGAAAGAGATCAGAAAAATTTGTATTATCAATCTCTTTAGTTCTAAAAGAGTACAATCCTTTCGTCCCATTCGCGACGATGAAGTTGGTCGAATGATCAAGAAAATATCTCAACAAGCTACTTCATCTAAGCTGACAAATTTGAGTGACATAGTAATGTCTCTCACAAGTGCTACTATCTGTAGAGTTGCTTTTGGTAAAAGGTATGATGATGAAGGGGCTGAGAGGAGTAGATTTCATAGACTACTTAATGAAACTCAGGCCATGTTTGGAATCCTCTTTGTATCAGACCATTTTCCAATCTTTGGTTGGATTGATAAACTCACTGGATTAAGTTCTCGGCTTGAGCAGAATTTTACAGAAATGGATGCGTTCTACCAACAACTTATCGATGATCATCTAGATCAAAAGAAGACAAAAGGTACTCAAGAGGACTTCATCGACATTCTGCTTCAACTGAAAGAAGATCAATTGTGTTCCATTGATCTCAATTTCGACCACATTAAAGCCGTTCTCATGGTAACAAATATCATTAACTTCAATCTTTGTTCTTATCCACAATATTAATTGGGTAATTTTTGTCCACACGATTTTAGATAGACATATTTTTAATTAAACTCTTTTGTTATTTAAAATATTATTGATACCTCTTTCTTTGCCTCTACATAAATTTTAAATAATCTTTTTACATAAAATTGGATTAAAATTTAAATCGATTAAAAAATATTTTTCTACATATTAAAATTCGAGTCGATTAATATTTACTTTTTTACATATTAATTTGAGTTTATTAAAATTCGATTAAAGCTTATTAAATTTCTTTTTTTTTTGCATTATAATTTGAGTCTAATAAAATTTATTTTTTAACGTATTAAATTTCCAAGTCATTTCGAACTCAACCTCTACTGTCATTACCAATTAAAATTCAATTCAAGTCGATTAACATTCATATTTTTTTACATATTAAAATTCAATAAATAAAGAGGGTCTCATTGAAAATATGTCTATTTACAAAATAATGTGGATGAAGTTTTTCTTAAAACATATCATAAATAATTTAATAAAATTGCATTTTAAGATGTTAGTAATGTTTCAAATAATAACGAAGGCTTCGTCGAAGATATATCTACCTTGAACGGAGTTTAAATGATAATTACCCTATTTTATTCTATTCCATTTTTATGGCAGAATATGTTGGTTGCTGGATCGGACACAGGTGCAGCCACTCTAGTCTGGGCTATGATTGGACTGATGAAAAACCCTAGAGTGATGAAGAAAGTGCAAGAAGAAATTAGAAAGTTGGTTGTAAAAAAAGGTAAAGTAGATGAAGATGATCTTCAAAACCTTCCTTATCTCAAGGCAGTGGTCAAAGAAACAATGAGATTATACTCAACTGTTCCACTTCTAGTTCCTCGAGAAACTACTCAGAAATGCATTATAAATGGGTATGAAATCCAACCCAAAACCCTAGTTTATGTGAATGCATGGGCCATTGGAAGAGACCCTGAAGCTTGGAAAAACCCAGATGAGTTCTTGCCTGAAAGATTTTTGGACAGTGATATTGATTTTAAAGGACAACATTTTGAGTTAATTCCTTTTGGAGCTGGTCGGAGAATCTGTCCTGCAATACACATGGGTTCTATACTAGTTGAGCATGCACTTGCTAATTTACTCTACTCATTTGATTGGGAACTACCTGCTGGGATGAAGAAGGAAGATATAGACACTGATGTGATACCTGGTATAACAATGCACAAGAAAAATGCTCTTTGCCTGCAGGCAAAACATTATGATGGACAAACATAAGATTAATCAAGGTGGCCAGTCAGAACAAAACTGCATTAGAAACCTTTGACCAAACAAAAGACAATGAAATCATTTCTTTATTTTTATCCCTTGTGTGTGTGTGTGTGTGTGTGATGCCTATCTTCTCAAAAGATTTGTTTAGATGTATTTTTTGTGATTAATGAAATCATCTTACTTATCCAAAAAAGAAAAAAGGCAAGTACATTGCCAAATATTTCTTCTTTACCACCTCTCCTCGCCCCCCCACCCCACCCCATCCTTCTCCTCCACATTTTCAACTTCATAATCCATTAGAATATAGAAGTGAGAGATTTTTTTTTTTTCTTGGTTGAACGGTAAGGATAGTCATCCACTCATGGACTTTGATATTTATAAGTCATAAATTTTTCGTGACCTAACTTCAAAAGATTGTTAAGATTCGAAATCAGGGCAACTCTGATCCGAATCGATAAATCCTTTGAATGATCTTTTGAACTCGGGCAACTCTGATCCTAGTCTAGTAGAGATAGTGGATGAATCCTTTGAATGATCTTTCTTTTTTTAGCTTAATTTCTAGCCATTTGTTTTTGCTGGTCGTCCTCATCCCAATTGGTTCCCATTGAATTATTGGGATGAATCCTTTGAATGATCTTTCCTTTTCAACCTGAATTTCTAGCCATTTGCTTTTGCTGGTCCTCATCCCAATTGGTCCCCACCGAATTATTGGGATGGCATAGTTAGTTTGCAACGTCAAGTAGGGAATCCAGTGGAGTGATTGGTGGCCACGTATAAAGCTTGTGGTGGTGGGGAAGATGATAACAATCCAGTGGACTGATTTCCTTTTACACCTTACGTTGTTTCTGCTTTCGGGGATTTATAGAAACGTGGTAGAATCAATTCTACGTCAACTAGATTTCCTAACACATCCAATGAACAAATAAGAAGGGGCCAAAGATGTTTTGGTCAACCCAAGAAGTAGTACAGAATAGGATAATATTATTATTTCTCGTTAGGTCATTTTTTGGTGTTTATCGAATTTTTGAAGTTCTAATAAATTTTCAAAAAACCACGAAGTGTGGTAATTTCGTTTCTTATATTTAGACAAAGGTAAACTATGGCATTTTTAAGACAACCAAAGCTTAGTACATAAAAAGTTTAATTAAGTTATTTGAAAGACACAGAAAGCTAAGAAATTGAAGAACGACAAAGATTTTTGTCTAATAGTGAAAAAACTGAGACATATATCTTCCGTTAACGTGTGTATGATGCTCAAATACGAGTAAATTCCAACGTCCTTGATTCAAATCTAGACAACTCTCGAAGTCAAACCATAGGAGAATTATTCACTCATAAATACCGTAGTCCAAATATGAATAGTATGCTTTTAACCAAACTAAATAAAAAATTAGTCAAAATAGTTAAAACCTACCCTAGACACTTTTTACCGTTGAACCACAAAAAAAAATTTTAAATAAACACTAAAAGTTATTACTATTAAAAAAAGAGGACATCAAACCTCTCGTCATATAAGCAGTTTTGCCATTAGTTCACTAAGAATTGAATCATAAGGGAAAAATTTACATAGTCTCCCTTCTTCCAAAATTAGAAAATTGGATAGAAGGCAACCTTCTCAAACACATTAAGTACTCTTTTTCCCCGGCACTCGCACAATAGTTCCCCTATGATCACCAACAGAACATTGTCAAAACTAAAACGTCAAAAACAATGGAACGAAAACACTGTGAATACAGCAGTAAGTACAGTAGTCCACTAAGCGAGAGATAACATACCCAAAAGAAAAATTGTAGTAGCTCATAACTTCCGGGGTCTTCCCCTCTTTCCTGAATTTCCTTTTCCCTTGGTGCTCTGTGACTGTGAGCCCTTCTCTACAGGAGGGCGGCTCCTCCCACGCCCGCTGCTGCTTTTAGGCTCTGCAGTGGGCTTGCTAGCACTCTTGCCTCGACCTCTGCCAGAAGCTTTTCCACCGCGTTGCCTCTTGTGGTCTGCTTTCCCATTCACCTCTGCTTCGCTGTCATCATTGTCTTCGTCACTATTTTCATCTTCATCTTCATCGTCATCATCCGACTCTGATGATTCTTTGGACTTCTTCCTCTTCTTGTTGCTCTCAGATGTTTTAGCAGCAGCACCCTTTTTGGTACTTTTTTTAGAAACTGGAATTTTACTCCCAGGTTCTTCACTCACTGCAGAAAAAATAAGAAAACAGAAATCAATCATTCTTATATTTCGAATTTCTGACTAAAAGATCAAATAGAATCATAAAGTCTATTCGACATGGTAGAGGTCCTAGTCAACCCCAGGCAGATACCTGGGCCTTTGCCTTAATATGTAACTCCGTCTATTCAGAACAAGTTACACTACTACTTAGGCACCGCATCTAAATGTATGTCCCAGGCAGCCAAAAACTTACCTGCTCAACACTGCCTCCTACAATAAACTGATTATTTGATTAAAGTCAATTCTAGATAAGCTCAACACTGGACAACTAGTACATGACCATACCTTCGCCAGAAGCTTTGCCATCATAGACATCAAGCTGTCCAAATTAAAAAAAAAAAAAAACAATGATTACTAGACATCCTTCTTAAAATAAAACATAGAACAAAAAGCAATATCAAAACACTAAAATAATAATGGGTGAGACTATTCCCACCATTTATACATCCTTTCCCACCACATATAATTTTTTAATTTCGAAACTAAACCTACCACATCTATACCCACCTCGATAATGACTAAATTCTCCCCATTTATACATAAAGAATCAATCAAAAATCACCCCGTTAATCAAAAAACTCGTAATATTCACCTATATACAAGCATAATATTATACATCGAAAATATTCATAATAAATATCAAATAAAACATAAAATATAAGATTAAAAAACTATAACTCAAAATGCAGATTAAAACCCCAAAAATACAATACATGTACATGAATGCAATTGATAATATCTAGTGCAAACTGAACTATATCATCCATACGGTATCTCCTATCTGAAATGCAATAGATAATATTCATATACAATTGAAAAATATAATAACTTGAATAAAAATAAAGGGACAAAAATAATAAAGTTAAAAATACGAATGGACAACACAAATGTGTGTGAGATGTGATAGGAATAGGAAACCTTGGGTAGGAAGACTAGTTTATGGGTAGAATATATGATGGCGGAAGAGAATATGGGGTGAGCTTAGTTATTGATGGGTGGATATAGACTGGATGGATTTAGACACTAATGGGGTGGGTATACAAAGGGTGAACTTAGTAGTTTGAGATTAGAGAGTTAAATGGGGTGGGGAAGGATATTTAAGGGGTAGGAATAGCCTACCCAATAATAATAACCAAATCAAATAAAACATTCCACTGAAAACATCACATTGTTGTAGTATTTGGATCATTAGGGAATCAAGATCCATACGAACCAAATCCAGAAAACTCCCCATTTAACACCTTAATATTGCAAAACAACTAATCCTCAAAGCACTAGTTGCATCTATATATCCCACTGCTTCAAAATTTCCTTTATTTCGACCCCCATTATGTATAGGATTTTTCTTATATTTTTGTAACTTGTTAAGTCGATCAATATGTATGTTGTCAAGTATAGAACCACAAACTAGTCAATAAGAAACTGGAAAAAGGGCAACCTTGGTCTGTTATGCCTAGTATGTAGAGTTCTACCTGATCAAGTCGATCACCGACATTTGTTCTATCAACAACCACCAGAGAGTGGGCGAATCCACAAGCAACACTAAAACAAAAAAAAATGAGGTCAGTTAGTACATTTAAAGGATAAAATCATTCAAGTATGCATATTAAGTACCAACCTTACAACATGCATGCCCTCAAGAGTGTCTACTTTTTTAGGGAGTGCAGAAGATCTACAAAGCAGAAAGACACAAAGGAGAAAATAAGGACACAAAAAAGTCACTCAAAATATAAGTCTGAAACAATTTACGTGAGAAACAAACTTTTGCCCATTAGGTCCATATCCCAGCTCCCCTGACTGTGCATGGCCCCAACTTATGCAAGAGGCATCAGCACCAACAAAATGGTGCATATAGCCAGAATCCATGCATCGTAAATTCCAGCCACTGTAAAAAAAACATGGATGAAATTCTCTCCTTATTTGTGCTGCAATTTGATAAAATCAGAAGGCCTAAATCTATTACTTTTACATCTTTGCTAATAGGCTTCACAGGTTCAATGAAACAAGGTTGCCATAACTAAACAAACAAGCACGTTAAACAAAAAATGAGACTGCCCCCTATGAGTGTGTGCGCGCACACACGGATGTTTCCCCACAAAAAGAGCAACTCTTACAATACATACCATCCTATGAAGTATCAACCCAACAAGAAAAAACTGAAGTTAAGTGGAATTAATAAACTCCACTTCATGACATACCCCAAAATATGTTACAAACTTGATGCCAGGATACATGAAAAGCCTTAATGAAAACATCCTTTTTTGGCATGTTCGGAAGATATAAATCATCAAAGAAGAGTTTTATGCTCATGCATCCCTGATTGAATTGATGCTTATAAGAACAAAATTCATTATGACCATCTAAAATCCATACTTTGTGTTATTTTGAACTTAAAACATGCATATATGTTACAAAAAAAAAAGTACACTTAAAAACATGCATTCTTTTGAATTTTAGTGAATCAAAGAAAAAAATTAATGCCCTTGGTCTCCATTCCCATCCGTCACCGTTAATTACAGCAGCTGTAACCTCCTACTATCCACATGACAGTACCCATAATTCATTTGCTAAAACACTGCAGCCCAATTAACACATATACAATGAGGAACTGGAACTCGCACCCTAACCGTTCCATTTATACATCCAAGCCACCTCCAATCAATTAGTGCCACCACCCTCCAAACAAGAACTTGAAACAAGATGCCTTTTTTTGGGTAAGTAACTTGAAACATCTCAACATAGACAAGAATAAGAATGGTGATGCATTTGGAGGTCTTGAGATGGAATTACTAGCACACTACAAGGAGATGGTACATATCTCTCTTCACCTGAAAATAGGGCCTGAGACAGCCTACTAATTCTGTCTCACACGTAAGCATATTTCCACTGCCAGGCTCAAAGTAAATCTAGCTAAGAATCAAATCAAAGGATCTAGATTACAAGAACCTCAAGGTCTGCTATAAAGTGAAAATCAAACTCTGGACTCAGGAGTGTATGATTCATGACAGAATTGATTCGTGCAGAAATCATTCGTGTGGAAAAAAAATCAAGTTTGTTTCAACAAAATCATTAAGAAATATCAACATAGAATTTGGAAGGCCTTAAAATTTCAAGCTCTTAAAACTGAATAGAGAAAAGACCTCAACAATGCAAGGACCTAAATGTGGACTGCAAGACAAAGGAAATTAGCAATGTTAGACCAAAATATTTTTGCAGACGAGCAGAATCAAACCAAAAATTAAGCCAGAAAAAAGCAGCTATTAAGTGAGTTTGTTATCGAAGTATCACTCAGATACAGATAATGGCTGGCCAGTAAACTGCAGCACATTACAATCTTTCATGATGGAAGTAAATGTCAAAACACCTTCATTGAGATGCAGTTTATTGCCAATATAAAACCAGAAATCAACAAGGAAACATAGAGATAAAATCAAGGCAAATTGCACAACCTTAAATCCATCAAAGGTTTAGGATACATCCAATCATCCCCGTTGTTCTTTATTTTGCCCCACATATACAACTGCCCTCCACCTGGAAAACAGAAACTTTGACAGTGAATAACAAAGCAAGTCATTATGGCTGGTTCCAAATCATAGAATCACACTGCAAAAAACCTGGTTCAATTCAGCAATTGATTTGTTGAATCACATGCAGAACTTGTGCATGAATTACCTTAATTCTAATTCTTCCGAGTTTCAAGTTTTTATATAAAGGAATAAAAATATACTTTCCAAGAGAATATAATTGCATCAGAATAAAGATTGGCTCGCTATACACATCCTCTGAAGATATACAGTCCTAAATTTGAGTATCCTCGGAGAGACATGACACTTGCTGATAATTATTTTTCAGTTGGAAACAGAGGTTTTATTAATACTTAAATGGCTAGCATAGTTATTTGTATTGTATGATACATCACGATACACTTGAAAAACGATACGAATCGTCTTTCTGTATCATTTTTGCACCGTATCGTACGATACACGATATGATACGTAACATATGATACGTCAAAGTTCTGTTTTTTATTTTTATTGTTTTGGTTTTTTTGGGCTGAAATGATGTCGTTTTACATTGGGACTTATTTTTTAATCCCTAGCCAAAAAAATAACGTCGTTTAAGTGGCTAGGGTTTAAAACAAATGAAGTTTACTATTAATGTTGTTCAATTGAATTCAAAATTCCTGATTAATGTTAAGGTTATTCAAGCAGTTGATGTTAAAAATTTGAATTAGAGGTCTTTGCATGTTGATATTAGTGAATTATATTGGAAACTTGAATAATTGGTGGAACATTAATAAAATGTTATGCTATTATGAGTCTATGACTTTTTTGCAAAGGTATATTTATATTTTATTAATAATTATTTAAAATTACACGCATCTTACAATACACGATACGATACTATACATATTTTTGAAAAACAATACACCTTCTAATACGCGATTTGACAACTATGATATAAATTACAAAATGAGAGCAAATGTGGACAAGTTGTCCAACCGGAGTAGAACACAAAAAAAAGCACTACATCTTCAAAGATGGATAAAAATTGAGAGGGAAGAATCACCTATCGAGTCAATGACCCAACCAAATTACCGAAATCCCAAACTTTATTTGCATCTCACTCCTTGGCTTGTAAAGTTACAAGCCAATGAGAAAGATGCTAATGAGCCAAACTTTCAAAGAACCATGATGTAAAATTATATCATCTCACACTACCCTTTTCAACCCCATTAATATCTCACTCAGTGACTTGTAAACTTTATTTACTTCTAATAACCAAATGTCACAACGAATTTTGCACCAACGGCAACCTTCAAAATCATTTGTAACCAAATATATCTCTTGGCCTCCAAATTGCCCACCAAAAGACCACTATTAACTCTAGGCAAAACACAAGCTGCCCAAATGATCTTTCTTATACAAAAAATAAATGTAAATACTAGCCAACACCAACCATACTAAGTTAAGCTATACCTCTCTGGATATAATAGTTTTTTTTTCAACCCCAAGCTTAAGAATTACCACCTAAAGAAAGCCCCAAGTACTTAATTGGTCACCCTCCCACATGACAATCCAAAAATCTGGCCAACCTAGTAATCTTACATTGACTAGAATTGACTACAACAAAAAGATTTTGAATTTTAAATTTCTAATTCACTGCTTTTTATTTCCTCGTCCTCTAGCATACTTAAATAAGTAAGCAACAAGCATGACGAGATGTCAACCCATATCCTAGGAAGAAAATCCATTCCGTGTACACCAGCAGAAAAACAGAATTATTACTATGGTGGTTCAATGTACATACCCAAAAGAATTCACAGCGTGGGAGAACTAGCCAACTATTCAGGTCTTTGTGATATTTCTGATCCAACGATGTTGGAATAACACAAAAAAAATGTGAAAAACGAGAACCAAACTATACCGGCTGTACATGAAGAATTAAGTGAACCAGCTGAAATCACTGCATCTGGAGGCACAACATTGTGCTTTGAGAAAACATCAACTCGTCGAGGAATCCACTCATCCTTCTGTTCTTTATGCCCAAGCCTATAATCAGCACATAAAGTAGTTACATTCTTGATAATAAGACAATAACAAGGTGGTGGTGTTCTATTTGTTGATGGAGGATTTTGGCCCAGGGGAGTGGGGACAGAGTGCCAAATGTGTATAAGAAAGTACGGACCTCCCATAACCACCAAAGCCCCACCTAAACATTTGTCCACCAAGCAAAAAAAAGTCGTTAATTGCTGCACGTATAACAGAGCATTGAATGGCTAAATCCCAAAACTGAACAATATCAAGAGAAAGAGAACCTACGTGTAAACAAAGCCATTTGTATCCACCGCCACTGAAGTCCAAACAAAATAATTGGCAAAAGGTACAAATAACAGCAACATCAAGAATGTCAATATATAAGTAATTGAAACGTGCTTGAGTGCGTGTAGAGAGAGGGAGATAATAAACAGGCCTTACGCACAACCTGAATGGTTTGCTCCACAAGCAACTTTGACTATGGTTTCTCCAGCAAGAGATGGTATTGCCCTAGGGCGAGGTTGGGCCTCATAAGCAAGTCTGACTGAGCTATCTTTAGTATTGTACTGAAATTCAATAAAACAACTAATAAAAATTCATGCAGATTTGCTGACATGAAATTGCATCAACCTATTCTAACCAGGTTTGGGTCTACACATCCACTTTTGTTTCTCAATTTTGAAGATGAACATGTGAAAAGTGTACCCTATCCTACAATACCAGTTACTACTTCATATAAGAGATGAGATCTATCACTTGTGAACTTGGAGTTTACCATTCTGGCCAAAATTTTAGCTTTACTTGAGAAGCTATTGGAAGCTGATTTTGTGAATATGAAGTTCTAACTTTTTTGGGGAGATTGCTCAGTTATCATGTAGAAGAAGAAGAAGAAAGGTACCGTCCTTGGTGGTAAATCCATCACATTCAACATAACTTGGATGCAGTTTTCACATCAAAAGGGTGTGAGTTAAGACTGATGGAGAGGAATATTGCGAAGCAAACTCTCTCAACTCAAACAAGCATATTACTCTTCAAGAGTTAAGATGCCAATTCTGAACCCCTTCAGCTTGAGAGTGAGGAATCTTAGCAATCTTATCATTTCTTTTCTTTTTCCTTCATAATATGTTCAGCACATGTAATCAATGAAAGGCACCGTCGCTCACCTTCTGTCCCATTCTCCTACTCTTGAATAAAGCTGTCACTGATGATACAATTTACACTGTGTTTGGAAAATAATACGCATTGCGCACATTTTTGCAATCTTTGCCGTAACAAACATTCTACAGGGCTCGACAATTGAGAGTCCAAAAAAATCCCCTCTTAGCTGGAAGCCAAAACCTAAAGGAGGGGGCTTGAAAAGCTTGAAGCCTGGTATGCTGCGCTAAGTTGAAGCATGCCAGCCCACACTTTGGTTACCTTACCATAGGTGCAACAAAGGCTATAATGCAACTACTCTCAAAGATATATGCAAGATTTAAAAAAATAATAAAAGAATGGAAACGACAAGATATGTGACTCACACCAAAGTTCAGAAACATAAAGGGTAGTTGACAACCTTTATCCTGCCCTCACTTCTCATAAATATAAGTCCAGAGGGACTTGGTGGGAGGTAGTTTTTTCATACAAATTTGAACTGATATATTTTTCCTTTCATACCGATCACCACATACAAATTTCAAATTCATAATTCAGCACTCAAGTCTAGAGTTTTCAGTTTACAAAACAGCACTCCTGTGTTCCAAATCTCACAAGGGCATTTAAGTGTGATGGTATGCACGCATCACTGAGGGCAGGGAAACAAAAGAAGAAAACCAATTTCTTAAAACATACCTCATTGTCAGTTCCATGTCCAAGCTGACCATACTGTGGAAGACCAGCAGTTCTAGAAAGCACAAAAAAAAAAGTATGCAATTCAGGAGTTGTCACAGTAAAACAAGAGCTTCAAAGTCAGATAAATCAACAATTTCATCTAATTGCAAAACATTTTATTTAGGGAAAAAGTAACAACCAAACCAAATCTACAAACCATACAGTATAGAAGCTCCTTCAACAGAAGTTAACCACACAGTAAACTCAGCCCCACAAGCAGCATTTTTTACTTCAGATACTAGACAACGTACAGGAGACAGCTCAAGTTCTACAACAGCAACAGAAGAGAAAAAAGAAAAGGAAGAACAAGCATGTCATTAGCGTAAACACAATAATTCACACAACAAACACAATAAATCTTACAAACAACCATAAAGATGACCCTAAACACAATGAACGTAACCCTTGGGGGACCGGGGGGACCCAGGTTCTAGTTGAGAAGAAAAAGACAAATATGTAATAACTTCTACGAAAATACATTTAAGAAAAAAACACCCCTAGCCTAGGTTTGCCCAAACACAAGAAGTAGAAATCAAGAAGCATAGAGGAAAATATGTTAAAAATTTCAACTGTCGAACTCGAATCCAAAAAAAAAAAAGACTATTCTCAGCACTATCAGTATTCTCCATGAATTCTGCCATTTTATTCCAAGCTATCCCAAGACAAATTTTCTAGTCATCCAAAAACTCCAACTTGCTGCATAAAACCAATAATTAACTACTACCTTTCACTCATCCCACCATTCTCAGACCTCACTTGGGATAAAAATGCTTTCACTACCAATCAACTCTATCCTCCTCACTCTCGCAACTCTACATCTCAAGTTCTCAACATCCTTACTCTTGCAAGGCTCATTGTGGGTTTGTTATTCCTTCAATTTATAACTACAAACTATGAGTACTCCACAACAATCTTATAAAGTTTGACATTCAATTTGATTAGCATAGGTGAAGCACATAATATCCAAAAAGAACACCAAATGCCTTCCATCCTAATGGGAAACCTTGCAATTTCATATCTCCATCTGTATTGCCAACATAATTATGACCACTCAAGAGAGATCCCTTAGCCATCAATTACTAATCGCACAAATTCAGGCACTTCAACTCCTGATTCTGAAAGGGCCAAAGCTGTAACTTCATCATCAGTGATGGCAGTGACAACGTTAGCATAAACGAAATACACCAGCTAGTTTAGTAGAGCAGTATATCAGAGGCAACATGCTTACTTGGGAGTCCTCTAGGGAACTCAAATGTTGTCATCAACCACCACCACCCAAAAAAAATGAAATAGAAAAAGAAACCCCACTTGCCTATTCCACTGTCTCTAGTGGCAGTGTCAAAATTATTAATGACTAAAACAAGCCAGCAAGTTAACCCATTATCACAAAAGGGTTGTTATACCACATGCTTGCCGTCAAGTACTCAGGAGCTTGATAGCCTCCTTCAACCAGTATCCCCACCCCGAAAGAGAGGGATAACCGGATAAGACAAAGTGCTGATACAAAAAATGATATAATTAATATCCTTTAAACAAATCAGGTCATAATATTCAGACGTTACATGCATTTAATTTAAGAGGTAAAAGGAAAACAAGAATTCTCTTGCGGTTCGATTGAATAGTTTCCACAAAAACATACTAATTCCTTGTGGACCAACATCACCGACCATTTTCTACATTTTCTGAATACACAAGTCATGTTCACATTGCTTGCAATCCCTTGCTAACTGCACTAATTACCACACTGATGCAAGCAGAGATGATCATGCGAGCAGTGATGATGGTGACAACCATCAACATATTGATGCTGATCAATCTACACTTACATTAAGTGCACTGTACTTTCTTTGGTCTTTGGTTTCCAAAACCTCTCTATGGATCTTCTTATGGAAAAAAATTTATAAACCCATGGAATGAAATTTGACTTTTCCATTTTGAAGACAATAAAAACCACAACCATAGAAATGTAAGACTCAAATAAGTTTAAATTAAATCAAATATAAATATTCAATCCAATAATGGTAAAATTTCCTCTAGTCTCCCCTCCCCCAAAAATCCCTTAACACAATAAAAAGAACAAAAATATCCAAACAAATTTCTCAGAGGGAAGTCAAACAAATGAGTAAGGGAAAAGTCTATGGTACCCACAAAAAATGTGAGTACAAGACCAGAAAACGGATCATAGCTGTATATCTTGTGTTGGTTTATTTGTGACCGTTGAACCTGAAAATAATAAATCACAATGAATAATAAAATACAAAAAATTTACAAGTCTCATACTCTGATTGGTAGAAAATAGGAGGTATACCGTAAACGTACCCGTAAGAGAGACCGCATCACAACAAAAGCAACCCCCCTCTCAAAGGCATGGTATATTCCCAATGCAAGTAGTCCCATGACCCATCACAAATATTATACTACTGCAAATTATAAATTTTATCTGGAGGGGTGGGAGACCTACCATTTTTAGTGGATCCTGTACCAAGCTGCCCATGTTTATTCCAGCCAAAGGACATGGAGAGCCCATCTTCAGTTACTACCACTGTATGGCTCTTCCCAGACCCCGCCCTAATGATATTATACCTGGAAAGAAAGAACATGAAAAAACTTGTAAAATAAAAATAAACCAAGAAAAAAGGAGATAGCAAACAAAACTGATAAAGAAATGTGTAAACCACAGGTATCACAACATTAGCTACACATCAATAACAAGATAATGAATTACCCAATCAGATAAAGATATAAAATTTTACATGGCTCTACGCAATCTGTCAATAAAAAAATCCCATTAGCATTAGAAGCACATATTTGAAAATGTTGGCTCAAGCCCACAAACAATCCATGACAAACAGTAGAGGCAGGATGGAGAAGAACAATGAGGAACTTCTTGAAATGCTCAGAGGGAAAAACTACCAGAAGAATATGACATAAACTCCACAAAAAAATAACTCCAGTAAACAAAGAGCAACTCACTTTGACAGTCCCGACACAACCGTTGGCCTATCGCGCTGAATAATATCGCCATGACCAAGTTGTCCCTTCTGCAGACACGAATGCTCCATGGGTAGGAGACAACAGGGTAACAAACAAAAAAAAGTTAAATAACATAGAGAAATAAAATTTCACATTCAAAATTTAACTTTCACATTCAAAATTTAACATGCCTCATTGCGCCCCCAAGTATAGCAACGTCCTTCCACATCCAATGCCACACAATGACAAGATGCTGCATATACATTACCGCAGAGAACACTAAACAATCATTTAACTTTTATTGCAAATAACAAAAAAAAAATCCACAAACACGTACCCATTAAAAAAAAGCAAACATTTACACATAGAATAAAGCGTAAAAAATAGTAAGAAATCAAAATAGGAGGGAACGATACTTGCTTGAACCAGAGGCAACGAAGCGAATGTCAACGCCGACGAGAGGCCGAAGCCGAGTGGGAGAGACCAAGTTACACTCCGAGGATACCCTGCGACGACCAATGGCATCCCAGCACGTGGCACCACAGAACAACAACTCTCCACCCTTCACAGCCTCTTCCTGTTTCTCCTCAACCTTCTTCTCCGCCTCCACCCCCGACATCTCCGACGAAATAACGGTCAAAAATTCAAATTACGAAAAACCCACAAACCGTACCAAAAATGACAGATCCAAAGCCTCCAACCCTCTAACGGACAACAACGGGATGAATCGGCGGGACTAACTATTGGTTAACGGCTACTAGACCGGAATCGGCGGTGGGGGTTTATACCCTAGATCAGAGAAGGAAAATTTGGAACCCTATCTGCTGAAAATGCTGCTTAAAAAGAGGGGAAAAAGGGGGATTTGGGATTTCCGAGAATGAGCATGAGATTTTATTAATAAAGGGAAATAAATCGTGACTGGATAGATTTTGTTGGGCATTACTTTTGCCATGAGCAGTAATTAATTTTCGTTTTTTCGATTCTGTATGTAGTCGTTGTCACCTAGATTTTCTTTACTTTTGTTTGTAGTGTTTAAAGGGTTCTCCTCGCGAGACATTGTCCTATGGGAAATATGTGTGGGGGGATGTGTACCATTTTTTTTTTGTTGTGTTCGGTAAGACGGATAAGAAATAAAAATAATTAATTTTTTTGTATTTTTTAAAATTAGAGTTGACAATTAAGTATTATCGTGTTTAGTCATTGCGGACTCGTATCAAACTTAACTTAACTCATTTTTTTAATTGTGTCGTATCGAATTGACTTACTTATTTTCGTAGCATGTTCGTGTTCGTATTCATATTCATATTCATATTCGTATTCGTATTGATTCACATAAATTTTGAATAAAAAATTTAACTCTAATATTTTATTTTCACTTAATTGCATACATGCTTATATTTTTTTATAAACTAAAAATTATATTAAATAAATATAATAATAAATAAAAATATTTTTTTATAATAATATGTCGGTCTTTAGTAAATAGTTACAAATAATTAACATTTTATATCTACAATACTAGTTAAACTTGTTAATTTCGTGTTACCATACTAAAAAGAAAATGGAGAAAATGTTTATTTTTAAATAAGTTAATGGTATCAATTTTGAGTCTGGCGGGTTTAACTGAATTCAAGTCGTTTATATTTTGTGTTCACATGTCAGGTCATTTTTTAGTTCGTGTGTCAAGTTATTTTCGAGTTCATGTCATAAAATTCGTGTTGAGTTCAGATTATATCATCGTGTTGAGTCATAAATTTTTACCCCTAACTAAGATGGAAAAAATATAAATACATATATGAAATTAATATATACATGATATATGTATATATCAAATGTTATATAGACAAATAAAATCCATTTCAACACAAATAATTAACTTTTCATTCACTTTTTGGAGAGATTGATTTTGATAAGTTTGAAAAAAAACTCATCAATCCACTTTTTCATTCATCCTATTTTTCTTCCTTATCAAACATAGTGTTTTATCTATCCCTATAATTTTTCATCTTTCCAATTTTTTATCCTTTCATTTTTTCATCATATAAAACGGAGCATTAAAGTAAGTCTAACAATCATATCGGGTGAAACAGATTCGTATCAAAAAATACTTTACTCATACTTAATTCATTTATTAATTCGTTTCTAATAAATTATATTATATTAAATTTTTGTCGTATACAATATTTATATAATTAATATATAAATGAGTTATATCGTTTATTTTTTCTAATTAATTTCAATTATATTTAATTTATTTAGTAATCGTGTCAGCTCATTCTTTAATTTTATGTTATGATAACGGGTGGCAACACTAAAGTTTTTGGAAGAATTAGCTCGAGAATTCTAAAAGTTTGTCATTTAATCGTTTAGATTCCTTGACGTTCGAAATATTATATACAGACTCTTTAAAATTTATACTCACGTAACACTTAAACTCCTATTGTCAATCTCTGTTAATAAATTATATTCAGACCTTATAAAGTTTATAACCGTGTAATATTTAGACGCCTCAAATTTAAAATAGTATATTTAGATTAAAAATATTTCAATCAAATATAGAATATTAAATATTTCAAATTTTATAACCAAAATTCATGTTCTGTTATGATATTTATTGAAATTTAATTTGGTTGTTTAAATAACTAAATTAAACTACAAAATTACCTCAATTAAATCTAGAATATATTGTTTTCATTACAGTTTGATCATTTATTTAATTTTTTAGTTTTATTCCAATAGATGGTATAATTATATACTAATTAAATTTTTTAAGAAAAAAAAAATTTTATTTTTGATTTTATTTCAGTAAATGACATAATAGAATATAAATTTTGATTATAAAATTCATATTCCATTATAAATGACTTACATCCCTTGTTTATTTTTTTATTTTTTTGGTTTTATTACAATAGATAGTATAATTATATACTAATTACAATTTTTTAAGAAAAAATTGACTTTTTATTTTTGATTTTGTTTCAATAAATGATATAATAGAGCATGAATTTTTATTTTAAAATTTAAAATATTTTATATTTTATATTTTATATTTGATTAGAGTATTTTTAGTCTTAATATAATATTTTAAACTTAAAGAATATAACTATTATATGTTTACAAACTTCAAAGGGTTTAGGTGTAATTTACTAACAGATATACTAACGACAGATGTTTAAGTGTTACGCGCGTACAAACCTCAGAGAGTTTGTGTATAATATTTCAAATTTCAAAGGCTTTAGATGATTAAGTGACAAACTTTAAGGGGTCTGAGTGTAATTCTTCCTAATTTTTTTTTTTGTCAATCAAGCTGACGTGTGGCAACTTTTAATTTTTTTGTTTTTGGCCAAGTAAAAGTTTTATTCTTTTCATTGGAAAATGACAGGGGCATGAGTAAAGTTGCAAAAGCCTACCAACTGACACTGAGAGCTCTAGCTTGACTGTCAATTATTTCTGTGGTCCCATCCTCACCTCGCTGCTACCTCTGCTCCCAGGATACAATCCTGAACCTGCTGCAAGCTAGGTTTGATTTATTGATTTCGTGTTAACGGGTGAATCTCGATGGTTTCACGGACGAGTTAACCCTGAGCATATAAACTGAGCCCCAAATCGATCATTATTGGGGATCAGCCCAACCCAAGCCCCTACCCAAGGGGGCGAAAGTGTTCCAACCATGAAAAAATCTCTAGGGGCTATCAGCTAACCAAAACCACCACCCCACGGGGCGGTCAGGTAGAGGTCTCCCATGGTTACTGACAAATTAGCCGAAGGGGTTCTAACTGTATAGTTGTTATACACAAAACATAGAATATTCGATAACCAAATGAAGAACTACTGAAGACAAACCTTCAACTCTAACTTAGTTTTACTGCAATGAGCCAATCTAATGAACAGAAAAACGTTGCCAGTACCCAACAAAGTGATTACATCAAATAAATCAATGAATTTAGTCATAGAAATACAACAAAATAAATGTATAAGCCTTATTTATGTTTCTTTTTTTCCTTTGGCTGAGTAATGTGAACCTTATTTCAATTATTCTCTTCGTGCATTGAGGCCTCACCATTTTGGTGTTGTTGAGGATGTTGGGAGGGGCTGCATGTGAATCATTTGATGCTTCATGGAGAGCTGTTGCGCCATACAATTCGAAGGCCTAGCCTCTTCCCCGAGCTCTGCAGTTGCAAGCTTTAATCGCTCAACTTCCGCAACTAATGTCTCATGCAATGCTGCTAGATGAAAAAACAATGTAACAACTTCTCTCTTATGGTAAAGGAATTCAAAAAAACACACCGCACCCCAATGGAAGAAGAGTGGGAGATGGCTATATCCAAACAACCATGTAGAGTACAATTCGTATTATAGATGGCTTGTGGCATGCAACTAGCCAACTCTACCCACCAAGATACCAATGTTTAAAGGCCTGTTGGTGCAAAAATGTCATACATGCCCAATCACCCATGATGACTCAGCTAATTAACTTGGCAAGAAAATGGGACTGTTCAAATTGTCTAACATGCTAGAGTTGTAAGGTTAGAGCGGGAAGCCTGGCCAATCCAGACCAGACCAAGCTTCAAGCAGTCACTCAAAGGGTACCACCAAAACCACCCTCAAGGCTTTGCAACCCAACAGTTAGAAGTGAAGTTCAAAGCCAAAGTTTCTCAGTGCAAATAATTCAGATTTAATAACAATGTACAACAAACAACAGGGGATAAAAATGATATAATGCAGAAATATAAATGCGGAATCAGCAACAAACTCAGGCAGTGTGTATTGGGCCACAAGCATCAATGCCATGAGCAATCACGATGTGAAACAAAACACCAACGAGAAATCTATATCTCACATGCCAATGTATATATCAAGATAAATTGGTACACTAGCCAGATTTAACACAGATTAACAAACTGAAGAATGAATTGAAAACGACTATTTCGTATGACATTTGTGCCTTTTAATGAACACGAGTAACGTTTGACATTACAATCTAAATGAGATTTCTAGTACAAAAAAAACTAATAATATATGCCCACAATAATGATGGTGGGACTGGTGATGGAAACAACATTTTGTTTCTTTCAATGGTTAATTTTTACTGTAAAACTGTAAGTCATTGAGCTCATATATGGCCACGCCAGAGTAGATCCCGTTCCCACTTCTCAGCATGATGCTAAGTTCAGATACGCATGTTGCATGGATAGTTCACACTACTTTTTGACCGAAAAACAAGGTATAGTGATTAACGGGAACCTAGAAAGATGTGTTCTTTAGAAGAGGCACAAAGTTGCAAACCCAGTGACAAAATTCTGGACTAAACCAGATATTTAAGAAGAATCTTACAGGGAATCAAAACTAAAACATGGGAACAAAAAGTGTAGTGTTTGGTTTGGTTTTCAAAAATTGTTTTTTGTTCTCAAAATTCTAAAAACAAGGAGATGCTACTACTTATTTATTTTTTTTGTTCTCCAATTTTTTGAAAATTTTGGGAAATGGGATGTGATTTTAGATAACAACAAAATGATGTTCTTATTGTTTTCTAAGACAAAATGAAAACAAGGGAAACAACTTATCCCCAAATTAATGAGGTCTCCCTACGAGTTTTCATTGGAGAAAAAAAATAGAGACTGCCTACACTGTTGAGCTCCCTCCACCGTCTCACCGCCTCACTGCCTCCACCGCCTCACTCACTGAGCTACCTCCATCGACTCACAAAAAAGAGAGAACAGATCTGTGCATATACACAGATCTGAGTATAGTTGTGCCTCCCCCACCCCTTTCTCTCTCTTTCGCAACTTCTTCTTCTCCGCCTCTTTCTCTCTTTTGGGTGGCTCTGAGTTTGGTGGTTGTTGTGTAGGTGGTTCTGGGTGGTTTGGTGGTGGTTCAATGGTGGTTTTTTTGGGTGGTTGTGGGTTTTTGGGTGCTCCAGTGGTGGTTTTTTTGGGTGACAGAGAGTTGAAGGAGATAGATAGACAGAGAGTTAAGTGCTCCGGTGGTGGTTTTTTTGGGTGACAGAGAGAGAGACAGACAGAGAGTTGAAGAGACAGAGAGAGAGTTGAAGGAGAGATGGATTATTGTCCAAATAAATTTTATAAATTTTATTTTTTTAAATTATTTTCAAAAATATATAACAAAACAGATTTTACGATTTAAAAATTTTTAAAAACTCTTTCTTAAAACTCTACTTAAAAACTATTTTCGGATACTATTTTTTGAAACGCAAACCAAACATGCCCATATGTCTCAAAGTTCTCGTAAACCCCTACGGGCATGTTTGATTGGTTTTTCTAGAGGGGTTCGGATTGGCATGTTCAAACCCTTCCAAACTCAGACCCCTTTTTACAAAGATAGGATTCAACATTCAATCATATCCATACTCATGTTTGGTNTATATCAAGTCATCACTAGTGTGTATTTTATACCCTACATCTATAATATAAAATAGAGAATGTTCCAACAAGTTCACTTGATGATTTCAAATAGATTCATCTAACGGTCACCAATATTTTTCTTAAAATTATTTACATTACACTGTACCTTCAAACACAAATTATCCGTAGTATACATATATGTAATAGCTATTGAATTGTGGTCATACACACCTGTGTTCATAAAATAAGACATTACTTTAGCCAATGGGAGGATTATGACAAGTTAATTTAGAATCAAGTTGAGTGAATAGAGGGAGTAAACTAGAGCGGGGAATGAGTAGAGGATGAGGGTTCTAGGTGCTTCAAGATGGAGAGGGGTGGGGTGTTCATTTGACTTCAAGGGCTTGCTTGGATAGANCCCATATGTCTCAAAGTTCTCGTAAACCCCTACGGGCATGTTTGATTGGTTTTTCTAGAGGGGTTCGGATTGGCATGTTCAAACCCTTCCAAACTCAGACCCCTTTTTACAAAGATAGGATTCAACATTCAATCATATCCATACTCATGTTTGGTGCGCACGAATATATCACTATTATGATAATATATTTATATATAAATGACTATTGTGCCCCTTAATCAATCTAATCCAAACCCATGTGAATAGGGTTATATGGGGTATAAATGTCATTTTGTATGTTCAACCTTTAACCCCCATGTGAAACCCACCCCTCATCGGGTTTCATAAAACTCATGAACTTAGGTTTAAATTGCAAGCCTAAAATGGGCTGGGTTTGGTAACCTGGGCTAAAAATTTAGTTGCCAAACATGAGTTTGCTAGGTTTTGTGGACTTTTATAATCTTGGTAAGCGAGTAGCCCAGAGGAATAATCGAAGGATTTTTATGGTCCATACACAATAAAAAATTTTAAGAAATACACACAAGTTGAAACCTGGTTTTCAATGTCCAAGACTCCAAACCCAGAGGATGCATATGAAGAAGTGGTTCGGATGTAATCATCAGTTTCAACAACCAGACCATATTCCATCACAAGCCTGTTTTTAGAAGCAATGCTGCACCAATTATTTGTCAGCATCATAACATAAACACCAAAGATCAAAAAGATTCCTAGAATTGGCCTCTGAAGATCACATTCACCAGCTAAACATAGATGTCTTTGCTCTTTTTTCAATTGTAGACTGCTTATAGAACATGTCATGATAATTTTTTTTACCTCACTGATGAATATGAAAAGAAGTATTCTTCAGCTATGGTAACTGAAGACCTACTTAAGACATTTATTCACAGCTTCTTACCACATGTCTATGTTTCCTTTTTGCGGCAAAACTAGGAATAAATATATCAACCACCAGACATCACGTCATTTTAAGCATCAAGAAGAAAGAAGCACCAAATCATTTAACAGAAAAAGAACAAAGAATAGCTTTGCTGTGAATGCATATTTAGATATTGCAATAGAGCGTGCATTTCAGTCATGCCGACTCACTTGAGATGCAAAAATAACAGCACAAAAAAAGATGATAACTAAAATATAGACGTCACTATATCATTGACAGCGATTGACTAGAATAAATATTGGAGTCAGATTTGCATGATATGGAACCAAAGAAGAAATGGATACATATTGTAGACCGGCCGACTACTATGCCCTTCTTGTAGGGGAGGCATCAGTAATATTTGGGCTGACAATGACTGGCAAGGACAAGAAGGGCCAACATATCAACTTTGAAACCTATGACCATACAAATCTTAAGAAGTGCTAAAGTTGGGATTTGTGGGCTTTGAAGCCAATGAAAAACTGATTTCACAGATACCACTATACGATCAAACAAAAAGCTCAGCTCATCTTACCAATCCTACATTCCAAAAAGCCAACTCGCAATAACAATAGAGAAGTAGGGAGATGTAAAAATATTGTTCAACACAACAAATACCTATATGTGACTGTGTGCACATGCTCCTACAAGAAAATTTCAAAGATAGGAAGTCATGCATAGTGCATATGTATCAAAGTGAGATCGAGAACATCAACATATTAGAAGCAACACTCGCTAAAAACATAAAGAAGAAAACTAAATACCCTCTCTGAGCTGTGCTTGTTGCTCCATGGCTTGAAAACGGTGTTTCAACTCATAGTTCAGACTCTTAAGGCAGGAATAATCTTGCTGGAGGGAAAAAAAAAAGAGATTAGATTAAACCAATGTAAAGAGCCCAGATTAAAAAAATCTCAAGTTCCCAGATAGGAAACCTTTAAAACGGTTAGCTGAGTCGACAATGCAGTAGCCTCTGTTTCCAGCATTTGCACCTTGTGTTCCAATTCTGATATGTATTGCGTCTTTCGCTCCTTGGAACGAGCAGCAGACTGGCGATTGGCCAATATCCTGAGATGAATATATCAAGGATCACAGAGTTCACTCAATCTCCAATGCATTAACAACACTTAGCAATTCAGTTAATAAGTTAACAGAGTACCTCTTGGCACGTTTGGGGTCTGATGATGCAATATCACCTAGTTTCTCATCTTTCATGATCTTCTTCAGCTCGGCTTCACTAAATTCACCATTTCCAAACTCCAAGCTAAACTTAGCTGAGTTCTCGTTCAGTGAATTGCTTGGCAAGAGTTGACCCACCTGATTTCCAAGAGAAGGTGGTAACTTTGGTGGGTCATCACCAAAATGCAGTTTTCCAATAAAATTATCCATTGAGACACTCCTAAAATGCTGACCAGTGGGAGCAATATCTCCACCCACACTTCTTTTGACACCTTCCCTCTTGGAAGTAGAAAAATTTGAACCAGATCCATACGTGTTGCTAGTGTTTTCCTTTGCGCTGCTTTCGACTTCACTATCGCTGCTGCCACCAGCATTCAACATGGTGCCAGAGGAGTTCAATGTGTCAATCTTGTCCAATTTCATTTTTGCACTGAACAAGTTATCTGTAGCTTCTTCCTCTGACTTTTTCTCATTCATCCTTTTTGCATTGCTATTAACATTCTTATCAATATCTAATTCCTGTTTCACCAGATGAATTGGCTTATCATTTTCTATGTTGTCTCCCACATGTGCTGATCGACCCAAAAATCCCTTATCAATAATGGGTATCAATTGAGGTGAAGATAGAATGACCGTAGAAAATTCTAGAGGAACGTCACTGTTAGCACGTCGATGCCCTTTTCTTGGGGGAAGGCTCTGACTGCTCCAAAACACATTTGTCCTTGGAATAGATGAAGAAAGATGTGGGTGTTGAGAACTACCAGCTACTTCCTCCATGGAGACATCATTCAAATTCAGGTCTGATGGTGACGATGGCTTGGGCTGACAAAATGGGCTTAATGGAGGTAAGGACTCAAATGTGTGAGATAGAGACCGTGCATGGGAAATCCGCATGACAGAATTCAGATCAAAGGGTTGCTCAGAAGGCTGTTGTGGCATTGGAATCCGTGAACAAGTACTAAAGAAGACAAGTTTAGGGGTGATAAGCCAATTTACCAAGTTTATTGTTCTTTTACAGCTTAAATCATTTGCTAATTGCCACAATGAAACACCAATTGAGACGACCTTGATAATGATATCCGGAATGTCCAATTGACAGTGTTTTCAATGACTCAAGACTACCAAGTGTCGATCCTATTAACTGGATTTCACCATCAGTTTCATTAGAACCCTCGGTTATCTTCCACGTTTAAAGTGCTTGAAACAATCAACACAAACTTTAAACAGTAGTTTCAGGCTTTCAGCAATACATTCAAATTCTATCATCAAATTCAGTTCATCCCTACTCTTTTCCCTCTCTAATCTCGCATTCTCTCTCCACAAAACCCAATAAAAAGGTACGAAACACCAATTCAATTCTACTCGTTTGTCTACCCACCGTCTCTTTTCTAAATAATAATACAGAATCTGAAAAATAATGAAAGAATAGGATTCAATTTAGAGAGGTAACTGGTACCTGATGAAGAAAAACACAAGTTTCTCAACACAGAGAATCGTATTAGAGTCCAGCGTCTGTAAATATCAATGGTTCCACCATTGTAAGATGAATCAGAGAAAGCAAATGGCGACCCATAAATGGAATTTAAAGGCCCCCCCCATAAATGGAATTTAAAAGCCCAAATATCTCGAAAAGAAAATGGCGGTGATTCCACCGAGAAGAAACGTGGAAGGACAAAAACTTGGGTGTAGTTTCAGAAATTACGAAGCTGACAACTCTCGCCTCTCGTTGTCTCACATTGCCGGCCGGCACGACGCCACAACGCGCGCTATCTATACTCATCGAAAAGTCCGCGCGGATTTCATAAGAATTCCATTTGGGTGTCAACATTTCAAATGAATCTTTCCTCTGTTTGGTCCGAGAAGAAAACGATCGTGATCGTGATTGGAGCGTAGAAAGCGAGTGAAAAAAATGGAAATGTAAAAACGGAGGGCACAGGAGGGAACGAATCCTTGTAATTAACAGGCGATGCGTAAAATTTTGACGTACGCAGTTTCAAATCTTGATAATTTATGATTAATTAGCAAAGGAATTAGAGGTAAGTCAATTAAAACATATCTGAAACAAGGAACAAATAGATGATTCACTCAGTTTTGTTAGTATTTGGACAATGTATCTTTCTGATTTATATGGTAAAAACAGATGAATGGCGAGAAACATCCAAACTGTTATTCCTCTCTGAATTTTATATTGTTTTGTTGAATATCTCTAAAATTTGACATTGTTTATTATATTTTTTTATGTTTAATTTGATTACATATACTTACAGATAATTGACCTTTAGAATTTTTAGAATAGAGTGTCCTTATAAATGTTTTTGTTATTTTCCCATTTCAACCCAAAACTAACAACCATCGTCAGATTTTCCATCAATTATGGGATTCACTTATATATAATAAACTTCACTTAAATGTATGAAAGATAGTTTGACAAGAATTTGAGGGAATTTGAATTCTATGAATTGAGATCTCTTTTGAAATTTTTCTACAGAAGGTTGTGTCATATGCATATACAAGTTATTGTCCGTGCCTTAATAAAAAAAAATAGTCAACAATAAATATATTCATATTCACACTCAAAATCAAATCACAAATATAAATGATAGAAAATTAATTTAAACATTGGTTGTAATAGGGTAAGCGGTGATAATTGTGATAAGAGACGATAATGGTTGTGGTAGATGACAACAACCATGGTGATGGTGGTAGTCATGGATGACAATGATAATGGTGGTGGTGGTTTTGAGTGACGATTGTAGTAGTGACAGTCATGAGTGACAACAATGGTGGTAGTGGTTATGGGTGGTGGTGGGCGACAATGACAGTGGTTCGTGGTGAGTTTGTGGCGACGATGGTGGTGGTGGGTGATGACAAGTGTTTTTATGGGCGATAGTGTGATAAATGAAGGTGATGAGGGGTGGATGATTGTGGGTGGCGAGTGATGATGGGTGGTGGTGGGGATGGGTGACAATGGTTGGCGACAATGACGAGTAGTGGTGGGTTTGTGGAATTGGGTGGATGGTGACATGTGCTTTTGGGCGACCATGTGATGAATGAATGTGGTGGGGGGTGGGTGACAGTGGTAGGTGATGATAGGTGGTGGTGGTAGGAGTGGTGTGGGTGGGTAACAGTGGTTAACGACGATGATGAGTGACAACGGGTAGTGTGAGATCCTGGTATCCCACATCGGTTACGGAGGGGGGAGTTGCTGGGTTTATAAGTAAGCCTTCAGCCCTTACTTTGCAAGAGGCCTTTTCCCAGGGAACCTCTGGGAGGAACAAACCCTTGAGGGCAGGGGAGGAGAACGGTGTTCCGTGACCCTGTGCCAAAGAGGACAATATCTTGCTGGGTAGTGGGGGGGTGTGACAAATGGTATCAGAGCCGACCCCTTGGCGGTGCCGAGTGTGGGGCCCTGCACGGGTCAGCGTGTAGGAGGGAGGAGAACGGTAGTCCGTGACCTAGCTGCACGGGGACGTGCAGCCCTGAGGGGGGTGGATTGTGAGATCCTGGTATCCCACATCGGTTACGGAGGGGGGAGTTGCTGGGCTTATAAGTAAGCCTTCAGCCCTTACCTTGCAAGAGGCCTTTTCCCAGGGAACCCCTGGGAGGAACAAACCCTTGAGGGCAGGGGAGGAGAACGGTGTTCCGTGACCCTGTGCCAAAGAGGACAATATCTTGCTGGGTAGTGGGGGGGGGTTTACAAATGGTATCAGAGCCGACCCCTTGGCGGTGCCGAGTGTGGGGCCCTGCACGGGTCAGCGTGTAGGAGGGAGGAGAACGGTAGTCCGTGACCTAGCTGCACGGGGACGTGCAGCCCTGAGGGGGGTGGATTGTGAGATCCTGGTATCCCACATCGGTTACGGAGGGGGGAGTTGCTGGGCTTATAAGTAAGCCTTCAGCCCTTACCTTGCAAGAGGCCTTTTCCCAGGGAACCCCTGGGAGGAACAAACCCTTGAGGGCAGGGGAGGAGAACGGTGTTCCGTGACCCTGTGCCAAAGAGGACAATATCTTGCTGGGTAGTGGGGGGGGGTTTACAAATGGTATCAGAGCCGACCCCTTGGCGGTGCCGAGTGTGGGGCCCTGCACGGGTCAGCGTGTAGGAGGGAGGAGAACGGTAGTCCGTGACCTAGCTGCACGGGGACGTGCAGCCCTGAGGGGGGTGGATTGTGAGATCCTGGTATCCCACATCGGTTACGGAGGGGGGAGTTGCTGGGCTTATAAGTAAGCCTTCAGCCCTTACCTTGCAAGAGGCCTTTTCCCAGGGAACCCCTGGGAGGAACAAACCCTTGAGGGCAGGGGAGGAGAACGGTGTTCCGTGACCCTGTGCCAAAGAGGACAATATCTTGCTGGGTAGTGGGGGGGGTGTTACAGGTAGTGGTGGGTAGTGATAATGACGAGGGTGGCGGTGGCGGTGGCGGTGGTGGGGTACCGACAGCGATGATGGTTGTGTTAGGGGTGATGATGGGTGGTACAATGACAGTGTGGTAGGGTAGCGACATCGGTGGTGGTGGTAGTGGAGTGATGGTGACGGCAACGGCAGTGACGGTGACGATTGTTGTGGTAGAGGTGGTGGTAGTGGTGATGGTTGTGGGGGTGGATAATTAAATCCACCTGCAAGGTTTGACATTGACAAAACTTATAAACTTCCCCAAGAAGACATCATCAACTCATTTAAATACTAAGGACGTGTTTTCCTTTAATATTTAATTTTTATCATATAAATAATATCGTTTTCCAATTCATCGAGTTTATTGACTCACTAAAAATCTCACTCTTTGATGAATTAAAATAACAAATATTATATGCACATGACAATTAAATATTTAGGGATTAATAGTATAAGCAATCATAATAATTATGAGGTATTTATTATCTTATTAAATCAGTAAAAGATAATAATCTCAACATGGGTCTGTTCAATGCACAAAGTGTACTAGTGCAATAATCCGATAAATCAAACAATCTCCTATAGTCAATACAGACTATTCAAGAATATTACACTACAATCATAGCGATGCCGTGTCCAATTCAATTTACGATTATGAACATATACTCATATTATACAAGGATCTGATAATTTGGTCTTCTGTGCATAAGCTGAACTCTATAAACTAGATTATATATAATGTAAAATATAAGATACACATGCATATCATATGTAAAATATAATACAAATATTTTGTCCATATAGATTCTCAATAAAATGAAAAGAACAAACTTTTATTAATTAATAAAACGAGTTTCACTACAAAAAACAAACTTTTAGTATATAACTCTATCAATTCCTACTACCACCACCATCTCTACACCATTACTATCATCGTCAATATCATGAGGTTTATGTTGGGGGTGATGGTGGCTAGTTTAATAGTAGTAGTAACGACGACAATAATTGCGATTGGATTGACAATTACGACGATGAGGTGTTAACGGTGGATAAAAGTCGAGGCTATGGATTAATGGTGATGGGTTAGTGTGCTTGTGGTGATAGTACTGGTGTAATGTAAATTGGGGATGATATAAATGATAACGAATGTAGGGCGATTAGGTAACTTGTACGATACTGACGATGGTGGTGGTAACAATAACGACAGAGGTGATAAAATAGCGTTTGCCATAAGGGATGGTAGAACGTTAGAGTGCAAAACGAATTGCGATAAAAACTATATAGGGACATGTTCGATGAATACTTCATACAATCCTTAATTATTGCTTACGTATACTGTTAAGAAAGAGGGATGGGGGTTTTGGTATCTGTAGGGGATTTATCCGCGCGTTCGGGATGTTCTCCCCCCACGAAAGGATTTAAGCTGACTTGGCTTCGCCCCGCTTAAGAGTTATTCAGGGTTAATCAACAGTAGCCTTTACCTCTCTTCGCCCGCAGAAGTTTGTTCTACATCGGAAGAAGGTCGTCTCCCCTCCTTACATATAAGCCTTGGCTTCATATGGAGGAGGTACCCCCGATGTGGGACAAGCTCCTGCGGGCGAAAAGGGATAAAAGCTACTGGTGATTAACCTTGAATAACCCTTAAGAGGGGCGAAGCCATGTTAGCCAAAATCCTTCTATGGGGGAAGGATATCCCGAATGCATGGATAAATCCCCTACATTATCCATTCTTAATGTCCAATATGCCTTTTATTTGCTGTCAATTTCCCTATATGTCTTTCCAAATAACCACTCACGTATTTTTCTCTTCCCATGGGGTAACTATATATGGAAGGCATCTAATCTAACATTAAGGGATAATTTGGACATATTTTTAAGGGATACTTAAAATTAAATTATATAAATGCTAATGTACCTCCTTTGGGTTTTAAAAATCTAATGCCTCCCTTTTAAAATTTTAAAAGTTATATAAGGAGTGAAATTCTATTGAATTAAAAAGTTTAATGGCCTAAGATTTGATAAATAAGTAGGTGATATTTTAATCTTGTTGATAGTGCTAACAAATACACATGATTGGATGCGATCAAAAGAAAACAATTAAATGTTGTCGTATGAAACTAATATTTGTATGATAATTTATTTGTAGTCATTAGATCATGCTACAAATACGAGAATAGTGGATCACAGATTCAGAGTAGTGTTTCCAAAATAATTTTTACTATGAGAATTGAGAATCATCTAGTCATAATTCTTGTCCGAAAATACGATGAAATATAAAATTCGAATTCTAAAAAAATTGATCTCACTATATTAAATAATAATTTTTCTTTCTTGCATTTATTTGATTACATCATTTAAAATTTATTTTACCCATTATTTCTTCAAAATATTGATTTTTTTTTAAAATACGTAATTTGAACTTTTTTTCTTAATTTGTATATACTATTGTGTGTGGATAATGTTTAAAATAAAAATTATGTTAAACTACAAACTAATTAAATATTAAATAATTAGTCATAACCCGTGTTTGAAGACACGATGAAACATAAAATTCGAGCGTTCAAAAAAATCTATTTCACTATATTAAATAATAAATTTTTTTTTCGTTTATCCATTATTTTCTTAAAAATATCGACAATTTTTTTTCACAATACATAATTTGACAAAAATTCTCAGCATATGTATACTATAGTGTATGGATAATATGTGAAATAAAAATTATATTAAGCTATAAATTAATTAAATATTGAAATAATTGGGCATGTGATATAAATTGGTGATATGATATTTTTTGGGAGAAAAATATGTAGGAGATAAAATTTAACTTGTGAGCTATCTTATTATATAGATTAAACACGCGATAAAAATAAATAATGTGATGTTTTGGGGGAGAATATGTAGAGAATAAAAATTCAAGTTGTGAGGTATTTTATTATAGAAATTGTTGAATTTGACAATCCAAACATATATTTAAATCAATATTAATATGGAAATTAATTTTGATGATTGTTACACAAATAAAAATTTAACATTAGTGATGCCTTTTTGAATGATACTATTAATTTATTTTTTTATTTTATTTTTACTATTTAACCCTCCTTGGAATAAAATTTTGATTTCGATCCTACGTTTAATTAAGAAAAGGATTGATTGAATGGACATTTCAATCCTTAGACTCGTGTGCGTTGGCTTATAACTCGGTCAAACTCTGGTGAGTTTTTTCCTATCAAAACTCGGTAAATTTCAGAGACAGAAGAAACACAACTTTGGCGATCCTCGTCAAACCAAATATAACCAATCACAAGCTCCCTTTCTATCAAAGCAGCCAATGAGAGCTAAGCACACAGATTCGGGCCATTTAAATTTGCCAACCATTCTCTCTCTCTAAAAAGCCGTTGAAGACTCCTTCAAGTCTTTCGACCTAACCTCTCTCTCTCTCCAATATATACAGGTCGTCTATTCCAATTATCATTCCTGTTCTATATTTGATTTCTTCAGAAGAAACGAAGTTCCAAGCGATTTCTCAATCTTTCTTCTCTCTAGGTCAGGATCCATCTCTGCTCTTGTTTCTGATTTTTGTTGTTGTTGTATGATCTGTTTGTTTCTTAGATCTAATCGTTTGTTTCGTTTTTGAATCCGCAGATTCTTTACCTGTGTTGGCGATATGGCCCGTACAAAGCAAACTGCTCGTAAATCTACCGGTGGAAAGGCTCCGAGGAAGCAACTTGCCACAAAGGTGGGTGATTTTTTCTTCCATTTTTGATTTTGTTAGTTAGTTTGTTTCTTTTGTCGCCTGTTTGGTTGCCGAGAAAATTCCTAAGAAATAAAGGTGAGGTAAAATTTGTAGATCGTCTATTGTTTAAGTCAATTTGTATAATGATTTCGAGTTTTAGTTAAGCTGTATAAATTGAATTATATACACTTTCTCTCCTACCAAACGATCTCTCTCTCAATCTCTGCGTGAAATTCATAATTGGATCTTGGATTTAGATGCTGATTTCTTTTGTTTACATGTAAAGGCTGCAAGAAAATCAGCCCCAACGACTGGCGGAGTCAAGAAACCTCACAGATACCGTCCTGGAACTGTCGCCCTTCGGTAAAATATTTGCCCTATTTCTATCTCCTGGTTTCCTTATATTGAGTCACACCAGGAACAAAATCTGATCAGTTTTTATTCTTAACAGTGAAATCCGAAAATACCAGAAGAGTACTGAGCTTCTCATCCGCAAGTTACCCTTCCAACGCCTTGTCCGTGAAATTGCTCAAGATTTCAAGGTAAATTCAAAATCGAAATTTACATTATACGTCCCATCTTTCTCCTATCAATTTTTATTGTTGGTGTGTGCATTGTTATGTGAGTTGATCTGTAATTTCTTGTGTGTTTTTTGAAAACAGACTGACTTGAGGTTCCAGAGTCATGCTGTGCTTGCGCTTCAGGAGGCTGCTGAAGCATACCTTGTGGGTCTCTTTGAGGACACAAACTTGTGTGCCATTCATGCTAAGAGGGTGACAATCATGCCCAAGGACATCCAGCTCGCCAGGCGTATACGTGGGGAGCGTGCTTAGTTCTTCTTAGTTAGCTTATGTTTCTAGAAATCTTTTGAATGTGTATGTAAACTTACATACTAGAAACCTTTTGTTATGCTTTTGAAAAAACAGACAATTAATTAGAAAGACCCTATTTGGTTTTTGTAAATTTCTTAAGTCTCCTGTTCTGCATTTGGATTGATTATGAATTTTTATTGTCCTTTCGTTCATGTTGCACATGGTATTCTTAGGTTGGAGATTATTGGATGGGTTGTTTATTATGGTTGTGATTGTTTTGAGCCTGCTGTGATTGAATGGTGTTATTTCTCTTACTGCTGTTTGCCTTACATTCTCAACCTACTAATGCGACTATTGTTGTCTTGGACTGAACCCTTCTTGATGCGTTGTGTGGATTTCTGACCGGGGTTCTTGTTCTGGCCTTTTGGAAGCTTTCACTTAGGATTGTGCAAGTTTTGTGTTTTTTGGTTCTACGAAGGGGGTTTATTTTTTTTTTTTTTGGGGGGGGGGTTACGTTGTTTTTTGCATTTCTTAGACTAATGTCTTCTTGGGTTTGGACAATGGTAGGACTAACAGGTATTCAATGGCCCGGTTATAAGGTGTTGCAAAGATTTTGTTATTCATTCATAATTGAATCTGATTCAAATCAATGCATTGATATATTCTTTAAAACATGAAGAATTGCATCACGAGAGAGAGGCATTTCAAGAGATGTTTGGCAGTGTGCAGCATAATTTTCTGACTTTTAGGGCGCTGTTCCGAGGGGGTGACAGAGGACATGCAATAACCTAACTGGACTTCTTGCCTACCCTAGCAATTACAGGATATTTGCACCAAGGTGGCTTGCAAAGGAAGTGGGTTAGTCCCAGCATTATGATGTTATTTTTTCCTTGTGCTGTAGGTTAATTTTTCTACGTAATTGGACTTCTATTTCAAAGTTTCATGACATCTTCAAATTATAATACACAATAATTTTTTTTAGATAGATAATTGTATATTATAAATTAGAGATTACCTTGTAATAAAAACATGAATGGACTACTTTAGTAACAATCGTCCAACTTAATTCTTAAAATTTTTTAAATCAAAATATTATAACAAATTATTCATCTATATAATAAAACAGGTGAAAAATTGAATTTTTATCGATACATATTTTTTCTTCCCCCAAAACCGTCACATTCAACCCAACACAGAGCAATGACTCCCCC